AGTTTTTGGGCACGCATACGGTGCTGCAGGGATTTTTAGGTGTACCTCTTCGGGCTCTTGGATACCTTTTTCTCGTTATATGTGTGCGTGTTCTTTAGATCCTCAGATGGCTCTAGCACTTTCGTGACCACGGGCTGAGAGTCTTTTTTTGCTAGATTTTGGCATTTAGCAACTGACATACGGTTTAATGTGAAGACAACAACAACAACAACTTTCTCTCCAACTCTCTCTCTCTCTCTCTCTCAACTAACTGCGATTCCCTCATAAGCTCATCATTCCAACCATAAACCAACACCTTCTCAATTCTAGTCTCCACCTCATACTCTTTCTTGACCTTCCATTCCATCACGCCTTTATTATATATACTGCGATTAAACTACCCCAAGTCACACAGCGCCAGGGTTTCCCCACCCCAGGAGAGCTTTGTGAACAGAACCAAAAAGAGGTTCAACGAGGGAGCGCGCGCACGTGCATCTCCAACCAATGAGGAGACAGCAAATTTAGAAGTAAAGATCCTTTCGCACGGATGGTAAAATGTACTCTCGAGGGGGGCGAGAACGAGGATGACATCCGAAGGACCTTTGCTTGCGCAGTGTCGTCTAGGGCATGTTCGCGCAAGGTTTACACACGTACCGTAGCTTAGGGAAGATGACTGACATCCTTGTCTCTCGTTGTGCATGCAATTCGTGGCACTGTTTGCTTTTGAGGGGGGCGAGGCGCCACGTGGTCACCTTCAGGTGGAGCTGTGACCAAGGAAGCTAGGGTACTCACCTAACCAAAGCTTCAGGGAACAGAGAGAAAAACAATACATTTTAGTCCTTGTTGCAACCACCGCTTGCTGTGTTTGTTGCCAACTAACCTGGGGGATAATCACACACGCCATGTGGTGAGCAGAGGAAGCCTCGCAAGTAGCACGTTGACCTTGGGTCGCCTCTCATCCGTGTTCAACCAGCTTGCTTGGTCTATGAGCATTCGTATCGAGCCTGCGTGAACGAAGCCTCTGGCAGCCTCTTGCATGTTTGTTACGTGATGAACCCTTAGATGGCCAAACATCCACCCGCGGAGGACAACATGCGACGTCCACAACAAAACACTCTTCTTTCCTCACCACGGTGAGAGCAACGACACAACAAAAGGGACACCAGGCGCAACCGCGCAGGGTGTACTTCACGCCCCACCCTCCGGCACACGCCCAGGCCTTCAACTTCATCAGATTCACCACCGTAGATACAACAGGTAACCGCCCTCGCTATTTCGTGTCAGACATGCGGCGAACGCCGTGTCGGAGACCGTGTGTAGAGTCACCACGCCACGCTTGCACATGCTGATGCCGGGGCCGTCCCATCTTCATATCGTGCTGCTGCATTGTCGGAAGTGAAACGTTTCAATCGCGCACATCCTTCCTGTTGGCTGATGATGATGCGGATGGATTTCGCATGCATGTCATCGGCAAGCTGAAGGATGGAGAAAGACGCGATGCCACTGCTGCTGTTGACTGCTGGAACTATGGCCTCAGAGCATCCACCGACAAGAGCACCGGAAACCCGACCCATGGCATAATCGCCTCACGCCCGCCGCAGCGCCAAACGAAGGCTTGATGCCCCGGGGGTGCCTCAGTAATACCCCAGAACCACGATGAACAAGAGGCGTAGCTCCGGGAGGATCCGTGCGATATCCTAGCTTCTCCGGCGTATCCATCCATAGAGGTGCCCATCCAAAGAGGGCTCGATCATTCTACTTCACATCAGAACGGGTCGACATCATCGACATCACCAACCGTTGTCATCACCGTGCCTTCCTCGGCTTGGCGCCCTTAGAGAAGCCGGTGGTTAAGAACCGCCGCGGGATGCCCATCTCCTCCGACAGCAGGTCCTCTAGCTCGGACGCCAGGTGTCCCTGCAGCATCAGCTCTTGGTACTTCCCGTTCGTGCCCTGTTATATTGTACCACCAAATATTTCGTACGAGGCCGAATGAGAACGAGTGACATCGACGGACAGAGCAGTGGGAGATACGGCAAGGAACACACAGATCGATAGATAGACAGATGAAAGCGCAATGAAATCGACGGAAAGAGAAGTGGGAGATGGCAAGGGGCACGCAGATCGATAGATAGATGTGCGAAGCAAGGCACCCTCGTTTCCACCGGTACCATTATGGCGGCCAAAGTTCCGGGCCCCAGTGATGTGAATGTCCCATCGAAAGTTCGGTGAAGGGTAAATACCATCGCCTTTCACGTCAACCCAATGCGTAAAGGTAGTTCCCGAAACGCATGCTCCTTTCGCCAACGACAAGACGACCGTACGAATTGCGCATGAAAAATTTTCCGAGACATAGGAAGGAATTGAGATAAGAACAATGATAAACGTTTCGCGGACGACGTCTTCCTGCGGACAAGCAGCACTTATCTGTGGCACTGTTGCCAGCAACACCAGCTGCCAAAAAAAGTCAAGAAATACCGGAAGCGCCAGCACGCGAGAGATTCCTCCTGCCATCTACCAGCAGACAGAACTAACTGCCCACAACAGCTTACCGGCGCCGGCTGCGCTGCCGTGCTGCACGCGAAGCGCTTCTGGACTTGACGCCCGAGCGTGGAGGGGTCGATGCCATACGCCTCCAGCCCCCTCACCTTGGTCGCATGCCTTCCGTTAAAGGGGGACACGAAACGAAAACAACAGCGCCGACGGAGCAAAAAAGGAAATTTGCCGCAGGAATGGCGAGCGAGAAAAACACTGTTTCGCACGCGCTGCCGAAGGACAAAGACTGGGGGCAGGAGGAAATGTGGGCCCTTGCGGGCGCTCCCAAGCTAGAGCCGCGGGCCACAGGCTCACAGCGCGAAAGGTCAAATGAACAGGATAAACAACAACAAAATACTACTGTGGTGTGAAAATTTTCACGCCATGCCTTTTGGCCAGCGAAACGAGCACACTGTTTTTCTTGAACCCGTTGTCGCGTAAGAAATTTGGGTGAGCGGCGGGATTATGAACCCGTGTTTTTCGCAACCAAAAGCAGACACCCTGACATCTCTTCGCCGACGCCATTGTGACAAGAGGGAATCGTCCTCGACAGGCGTTGGGGATATTGTTCCTCTATGACGGTGGTCTCCACACTAGCTTGCAAAAAAAAAAATGTCCGAGAAGGAGAACCATACGACGAACCCCAACTGCTAGCTTGTACTGTAAACAAACCTGTTGCCTTGTCGCTTCTCCACTTCTATCGACACGGACGGGATCCCTCCTCTCCCGACGAACGGGTGCGGGTTTCCCGGCAAAAGGATGGCATGGTGTAGCTGTAGTCGATCGAGGAACCGGCGCGGTAGCTCGGCCTTCTTAGCCTGGTTCGAGATTGGTGACGACAGTGGTTGTGAGAGGATGGCGGATGCAGCCGGGTGTGCGAGGGCCGCGGCCAACCACCACCATCGAGCCACGGAGAGAGCATCATCGTCGATGAGCACAAACATGCATGATTCCGGGATATTGTACATCGGTGGCGCCGTTTCATCGCATCTTCTCTTGGGAGCACCCACGTGGGTGTGCGACCCTCGCAACAGAAGCAGCAAAAACACAATGTTTCGGACGACTTTTGACAACACGCTGCATGAGGGCGCGCCCGTCGCCTCTCGCCTAATCTGACGAAAGCCTGCCCGACGACCAGCCCACCCACGCGAAACTGCATCCAGCACCACCGCCTTGTCACCTCCGTAGGGTACTCCACTCTTGCCGCCTTCTTGTTCACCGGCTTGTAGAGGTTGTCGCACAGAGGGCCGTTCAGGACGACGAGCGACTTGTCCTAGTTACAACAAACACACGGCAGCGCGTGGGGGGGAGAGAAACGCAGCGTGGAGGGGTGCGGGGGGAGTACTGAGTCGCAAGCAGCCATACCCAAGACAAAAAAAATAACCAATTGGCAGTGGGCTCCAGAGGATGCGGCGTCCAAGGCAACCGTATCACTGTTCAACTCCAGCATAAAACCAACAAAAAAATAAATGACATACACGTCACACCCCCGTCCGAAAAGCCACTTCGATCTACTTGGCGTTCTTGTTGCTCTCTCTCTCTCTCTCTCTCTCTCTCTCTCTCTCTCTCTCTCTCTCTCT